TTTTTATTTAGTGATACAAGGTGTTCCAATTGGATGATTGTTTCCATAATAAATTCTCATTCAGTCAAACTGTCATCATATTAGGTACGGCTGTATAATTGTAAACAGTATACGTAAGCAAACAGAGGCATTCATATTTTATTTCCTAAACACATTAGACATTATATAGTAACTCGCGACAACAATTATGTCGATAGCACGGCTCATTAATTAACGTCCTTTAATGCGTCACCACATCGAAGTGTATCCTACACCAACTGTAGTGACACGATTGCTAGATAATCTAGAAATAGAAACACGTGAAATAGTTGATATCTTTTAGTAGGTATATCAGTAAAATACTGAAACTTTATAGAATAATTAGATTAATTCAATGACTGATGCTTAAAAATAATTTTATTAAAAATAATTTACAAAAAAAGAAACATCAAAATAGTAAATATTAAATAGTAAATATTCTTAGCTCTACATTACCTGATTTTTTAATGTAATTACTCGCGTGGGGTGTTTCTGACACTCCAATATTATATTTCGATTTTTCATTATTTATTTTTTTTATTATTTATAATTACATAAACATTGATAATATTCTATATTCTTTTAGACAAAAGAAAATGCAAAAATTTTTTTTCAAATCGTGAAACGATTTGCGCTAAATATAATAATGTGTATAAGTAGCATTCATACATTTAATAAACTTGGTCGCTGTATTCTGCTGTATTTTGGACATGCTAGTAACGAAGGATTAAAAATATTTGTACAGAACATTATCGTTATGTCTTCTCATATTGTTGTCACGGTACTGAGAACCGCGATTGTCTCAAATTCTTCTGAAAGCTTCTTAGACTTGGTTGAAAAACGAAAGGCGGGCTCACGGTTTTGAGTTCGCCGGCAAAGAAACCGGTACTCGTGGAATAGCGGAGTACCTGGTTTGCCGAGTCCGGCAGTTGATCGGAGCGTGACGAGCGGTAATTGAATGTAGGTATGGCATTTGCATTGACAAGCTCCAACAGAGATAATTCGAATCTCGTCGAACGCAACGGTCCACACGGGCGTTAGGTCGTTTGTCAATACGACGGCGGCCGTCCAGTTTCCACGTTTCCAGCGGTATCGCTGTTTGTCACCGTCTCGTCGGTGATCGTTCGCCACTGAATACACCCGGTGCATACTTCTGTAGCGTGAATGCGTTTCGTTTCGTTTTGTGAGCCATGACGTTACTGTTAAATGTCAAACACGCGGCAAACCGAAGAATATTACGGCGGATAGTCATCAGGAAATTATTATTCTTCTCTTGTAAAAAAAAAAAAAAAATAAATAAATAAATAAAACCGAAAGAAAACATTTGACGTAAGATTTTGGTTCGAATTCAATTTTCTACCTCTGAATAACGCAGTTAGTGAATTTAATCGGCGCTTCGTTGTGGAAATTTTTATAATAAAACGAGATATAAAATAGAGAAAAATAAAACTCAAAGAAAAATCAAAATAATTATCTGTCCAGTATATTAAAAAGAAAAAAATAAAATAAAATGAAAAAATCAAAATAAAAAATTGTCAAATTTTTCCCGATTAAAATTCCGACTATTAGGATATTTCAATATGCATAAGAGCGTTAAACTGATGCAGAAAAATCTCAAGTTTGTAGATTTTCTATAAGTGGATCCGTACATATCCGTAGAATCTCGAGTGTTTGCCTGCCGGCAGGTCCGCGACCGGTTGGATATCGTCAGGATATATTCGCGCAGGAAATGGGTAGTTCCATTGTTTGCACATTCGTACAAACAGTGCAACTGCGAGGATGCGCCGGGACCTCTGTTTGATTTTCGAAAGTGAAGCTTCATTGTACGAGATACTGTTGTACGAATGTTCCGTTGTATATGAAACAACGATGCGTTTTGAGAAAAAAAAAAAACATACAGGTATCTCGATTGGAAGGAGCGGTTTGGAAAGAATGTGTGTGCGCGCGTGTGTGTGTATGTGTGCCACAATTATTGAAATCACACAAATGACATTTTCACGAGTTTTTACGCGTTACGTACGCCGATGCTGGATGCTGGAAATTTCGCACGTACGCAAATTCAAACATCGGGTTTGACGTGATTAATTCCGTGGAAACTTTTGCTCGGGGAATCTAATTGGAAGTATCGAGGTGTTGCAACGCAGATCCGCGAGTTACGCACGCGGAAGAAGAGAAAAAAAAATTGTACGCGCGCGCATACAAGCCGTAACGGAGAAAACCGATCAAATCAGGGTTCGATAGATCGATCGAAGTCTCCTGGCTCCCCACCGATGTCCAGCACGCGAGCCATACCGCAAAAGGGTATCGAGGGGAAAGAGAGCGTGTGAGAGAGCGAGAGTGCCGGAGAGAAAGAGAGTCTCGCCGTCGCGAGAGGGAGAGGTCGGGTCCGGTGGGAGATAAAGCGATAAAGAGCGGCGTGCGCGCGCGAGAGAAAGAGGTTACGCTAGGCGGAATGAGGGACGGAAAGAGAGAGAGAGAGAGAGAGAGAGAGAGAGGGCGAGGAAAAGAGCGTGGGAGGGAGTGAGGGAGGGAGAGGGAGAGACAGAGAGAGAGCGAGCGCCAAATAGGGAAGGAAGGTTGGAAGGAGTGGGGTGGCAGAGGGGTGTGAGAGAGGAACCTGGTAAGGGGAAAGGGATGCTGCGTGTGTTGGCATGGACCAGTGCGTCAACGGCTGTTGCCTCACACGAACCGCCGAAATTATAGTTAGTGACCCCCAACGGATACTTGGAAATTTACTCTCGGCTATCGAGAACGCTGTACCGAGGCGGAACTGCCACTCTCGTAGTTATACGCGGGGGACGAAGATGATTCGAGGGTGCCGCTAACGAACCGCCAAAGGGGTCCCTTCGGGATGGACCTAAGGGGGGACCGTCGTAGAGAAATCCTTCGAGCTCTCGCGATAGGCGATCTTGACGCGTTTCGAGAGGCTACTGATTATTATACTTGTTACCGATAGATCGTTTCAGTGAAGTGACTGATGAATTTGTTTTCTCGTTTCTAGAACTATTTGTACAAATCAAAGTGCGCGTGATTATACGAGGTTTTTTTAGTGACAAATAATGACAAATGTGATTTTCGTCGGGTATTTGCAGATCGGTAACTGCAGTCGCTCGATTGAGCAGAGAATTTGAGCCGGAGTTTGAGTACGCGTGTAAGTTTTGAAAAGAGTTCTTTTTTCGTTACGCGATTATTCCAAAAGTGTGTGTTTTTGAGAATATCCTTGACATCGATTAAACCAATATATTATGACTATACTAAACGTTTTTAAAAACTCTTAAGTAATAAATTTCATTTTTTTTTAATAACTAACATTACATCTTGCGCGCATTGTTTTTAAAGAGAAAAAGTTATCATTAATCATCATTTTTCATCAATTTATCACTTTTCAGTTCCGTTCTCTGAAATGTAAGAGAACAGATCTGAAATATTACAGTTATTGCAGCATAATTTTTTTCTTTTTCTTTGCCTTAAAAGATTTTTGAAAGTGAATAATGATACGTAATCGGTACTGTAATTCTTCCGGAAGATGGTAAACAGAATGAGTTCCGTAAGAGATTTGAATGCGAAGTTAAGCGAGGATCTTAGTCGTCGCGACATCGTTGAATCTTCTTACAAAAGTACGATAAGAAAGTCGACGAAGCCATTATTATTGTTCTTAATTGTGAAAAAAGCATCTTACATTACTTTGCTACATGCTCCATCAACTTTCCGTCTTGCTTTTAGAAGGTGTTGAAAACGTGACGATCACTTTTTTTATCACAGCATTTTGAATAATACGTAACAGTACGAATACACATTTATTATATACTCACGAATTGAAGTAATTAATTGTCATTTGTATGTCACGTAGAATTAATGTAATAAAATGATTTCAAACATTATTTTACGAAGCTCTTTACGTGCGGGCCGAATATGAATGACCGATCTCGATCATTGGATCAGCGTGTTCACCGTATAATAGACTACGCTCGCAGTCGCTTTGTCGATCGTATCTCCGCCTTATCAATTTGATATGAGCCGATTCGTAATTTCGAAATGACGGGAACGTCATTGGCAAGAAGCAACGTGGTAAACGTGGCCACGTGCAGTTTGACACGCGGTCGTACGTGCGTAGGGGTTGGGCATTCGTGTGGGGGGTGCCTACCGGCGGGAGTTCTTTTTCCCCTATTTTTTCCGTCCCCACTACCGTGCCAGTCTGCCCCTCCTGGAACCACCTGGATCTGGCGTGTCAGCCCCGGTGACGTGCGCAAAAATTACTGAATGAACGGTGACGTCACGAGCCAGCCGTGTGAAAAGTGTGCGAGTCGTTCCTGTTCGTGTCAACCGTTATTCACCCCCTTTCGTTTCTCTTCGCGCGTTACCTGCCGCTTCGATCACTCCGTCCGCTTTCCTCGTTCGTTCGACAGTAAGTGTCACGTTGTCGCGAAGGTCAGAGATAATTGGTTGAAGAATCTCAGTTGTAAGATTACGAAAACGTGAAAGATTTCGTTGAATGAATTAAGGATGGCTTAAGCTGATCACACCGACAGCCGCGCGGCGAAAACTTTCTTTGCCAAATAGAGTCTTTCCGTTTCTCGGTGACACGTATAAAAAGAGAGATTTCGCCGAATAGATTAAGGATAGCTAAAGCATCGCTGATCATCCGACGGCTGCGAGAATATTATCGCGCGGCGCAAACTTTCCTTGCCAAATAGAGTTCCTCGGTTTTTCTAGTTTCATTTTCCGTTGATCAATTAAATTTCTAGATTAATGCATTAGAAGTTAATGTAAATCATCGTAGAATTAATAATTCAATTGTAGAAGTAATCTTGATGAAAAAGATTTGCGAAAAATTATGGCAGAAACTTTCTGTATCGTTACATATAGGCAGTCTCGTGTTTTATTTCAGATATTTACGATCCAGTTGTCCACACGTTAGAAGATAAAATTGTAGAAGAATAAAACTGTCTTGGCTTGGCTCCCGTCGAAGATATGTCTCGAAAAGTTTCATTTCTACAAAGGTTGACACTATAAACCAAGAAATAATACCTTCCGCACATCTGCCAAAGAAAGATTAAAACGATCCGCTGCCAAATTTATACAACACAATGCACACTAATATGAAACAACTCGAAGAGAATCACAAATCGACCATTTATCCCGTCGCTTACGTAACAAAGGAAATTTGCTAAGGTTAATGACGTCGGGAGAATAAAAAGAATTTTCGAAAGGAGCTCTTCCCGAGGAGCGTGTCAGGCCTGATTCGTCGAGCCTGATTCAAGCCTCGATCATGCGTTCTTGAAGAATGCACGCGAGACTCTCCTGGTCCAGCGGCTGAACCACCGAATGGAAGGATGTTTCATCCGGTGTTCTGACTGCCTATGGATATATTCGGCCGTTGCAACGGCGGCGGCAGCGGAAGCACGGTAGCCGGAAACGGTGCTGGCTCAGTAAGGACCTCCAGTAACGAATCCGCGGGTGGTGGCGGCACGTCGAGCGGTACCAGCGAGAGCGGCAGCAGTGCAAGCGGCAGGATGCAGTTGACAGGAGCGTCGGCTCCTGGTGCGGCCGCTTCGCCGGAGTCGGGCGTCTCTCCGTTGACCGACGCCTACACCAAGATGACCAGTGACATCCTTGCTGAGAGAACTCTGGGTGACTTTGTCAGCGAACATCCCGGCGAGTTAGTTAGAACAGGTAATTGAATGACGATAATACTTCCGCAAATAGAGATTAGCAAGGATTACAGAGATTTTGTATGCGTATGTGCGCGTTGTGCGCGTGTAGAAACGAACCTCTGCGACTTATATAGATGGAATAACGTATTAACATTTAGCATAAGTAATGTCCAGCCATCTTGTAAGCTAATAAGATCGTATGAACATTTTGATTATAGGCTCGCCGCATTTGGTCTGTACCGTTCTACCCGCACACTGGAGGTCTAATAAAACTCTTCCGGTGGCTTTCAAAGTTGTAGCTCTCGGCGAGGTAGGCGACGGTACCTTGGTGACCGTACGCGCTGGCAATGATGAGAATTGTTGCGCTGAGCTTAGAAATTCGACGGCTTTGATGAAGAATCAGGTCGCCAAGTTTAACGATTTGAGGTTCGTCGGCAGAAGCGGAAGGGGTGAGTGCCTATGCCTTCTCTTTCGCTATTTCTTTCGAGTAAAAACCGATGTTTTCACCGGGATGGGAATCTGTAGCGTTTGAATGGATAATTCATTGCGACGAAACGAGGGGTGAAAGATTAAATGTCGGACGACATTTTCTTGTCCCACTTTCCTCTCCATTCATAAAACTCCAAAGTCCCTTAGTCTTTGCTTGGAGCGTGTCGCCCTTCGTCTTTTATGCCGGAAGAAAATGCCGGAGGGGTGAAGCACCGACGGCGGAAACCCCTTCAAAGAATTCGTGTAGACCGTAACGTAGTAAGGGTAGGTCGTGGACGTCTTGAGACAACCCTCGTTTTTCCTTGGCTCTTCGAGGAAAAGTCTTACGTCTCCGCTCCATTCTAAGGGTTGGCTCCTCACGTCGAGAAAATCTTGGGGTGGGTAATGGCTTTTATTTGTCCGCACCGCCGTGCGACCTTCTCACTTTGCCGCCCAGCTTCGTTGAGGAAAGGGACGAAATGAGAGGGACTGAGTATCGTTCGAAGAAGCCGCCGACGTCGACTGGGGTGGGTGATATTAATTGAGGTTTCAGTTGAGTTTTAATTAACGTTATTAGAGCCGGTATTTCGTTTAACTGCGTCTTTTGAACTCATGCTAAAGCCTTTTGATTAACGTAATTTAAAATGACTGTACGCGCAATTCGACCTACTTCGAACGATTTTCATAAAGTTATTTGGTTTACTGAACGACTTAACGTTAATTACGATTTATTTTAAATATTATGCGATAGATGAATCGATAAGCAATCTTAATTTTTTAATACGAATTTGGATCGATAAGAATATTAACAAAATATTAACAAAAGAAATTTAACAAAATAAGAGAATTTCTATATTCGGTCAAAGCGGATCTTAGTGCTTAAATTTCTACGAATGGTATACATTGAATTTATACATATACATACTTGATTCTTCGCAAACCGAGCATTGACGTTTTTATTTCGGTCTTGAAACGCAATCATGAATAGAATCAAAATAGTAATACCATTTATTGACGAACAATTTAATAATATTTGCTAACAAGTATTTTTATAAGAATATTTTTTTGTTAATTAGATATTAATGAGAATCTTAAATCTACAAATAATTTTATTACGAAAAATATTGCCTCAGTTAGGAAGGCAATTTATTTTTTGCAACAAAACGAAAAATATTGTTTTCCTGGTTGAGACAATATTTGAACCTGGAACTTCCGAGTATTCAGAACAGACGTCATATTAATTCGACTACCGAGAGCAATCTCAGTTTTGCCCTTAAAAGTCAAGATGGTATATTAAGATTACCTATCGATACTTATCCACTTATTAATTTTTTAACTTTATTGTTAAAATTATCATAGAAATAGAGGAAGAAACAACTTGGATAGTAGTTTAATATAATAATTATTGAAAATTTGCCATTATAGTAGTCATTATTGGTATGTTGTTGTCATATTTTTGATAAGTATTGGTAAGGAAAGGCTAATCAGTTGAAAATCAGGAAACTCGCAGATTCTCTAGCTGGAAAGCGGGGGAACACTCTTCCAAGTTCACGCGTCAGTCATTTGTCTGGGATTAGCTCTCAATTGTTTTCGCCGAGCACGGAATTAACATAAGCTAGGATGAAGAATGTAAGAGAAGTGTCTCTCTCTCGTCAGGATTCCTAACGGCTCCCTGGCTCCTTGAATATTCCCTGAAAACCGATGTGCGCCGAACTCTCGGGAATTCTTAATGATCCTCTTGTTTGTCGAGCGTGGAAATATTCCCATGTATGAATTTGGGAGGATTTTGTCCTTTTGAGATTCGCGAAAGAAAATTTCTAGAAATTCCTATTGGCTACATCTTTCGCCTCATAAATGCACGCAGTTGATGTATTTTAATATTATAATAAAATTTTTTATATTTATAACATGTAACAATATCGAAACCGCGCATGTATGTTATGCAGTCTGTGAAAATGGATATATACCACTGTTGTTATTGAATTTCGATATATTGCTGTTGCAATAAATTTAAGGAATCGTTAAACGTAACACCGACACTGTGCTTTTGTCTTCGCCTAAAACCGCTTTTAGCCCGGACAAGATTGAGCGTACTGCTACGATAGTCGAGAGCTTTGCAATATCGATGATAAGCCGTAACCCCCTTCCCGCACGTTCGACCGTAATGCCTGCTCCATCACTGCAAAGTCTACCCTGAAGGTACCGGATTGTTTCCACCCCTTCGGCCCTAAGCCCTTTAACGAGATAGATCATTTGCGCGCTTATAGTTCCGACCCATAGCAAGATATCCTTCGACTTTGCTGCCGCGAATAAACTTCGTCATGTTGGGAACGTCGCCAATCTAACCAAGTTGCTTTAATTCTACAACACACTTTCCCTTAAACCTCTCAGTCATCTTACTTGTGATCTGTAATATCGAGGAGAATCTAATATGAATAGAAAATAATAATTAAAGGTATCGAAGGTCTCTGTCTACAACAAAAGTGTCGCGAGATTTAATTTTAACAAAGAGATAAATATCAAAACTTACTTAATAATAATTCATAGCGATTTATAAATAATTCAAGGAGTGCGCATGCAATATTTAAACAATGTATATGCGGATAATTTATTAACCTTCTGAGTATAATAAAAATGTATGATATATGGAATTGGTCAAACGCATTTATTCGCGAATGTTGATTTATCGACCGCAGCACGAGAATCGTTTCACTCCGAAAAGAAAAACAGCATTCACTCGCGGCAGTTTCAGACCGTAATCAATTCGTTATCAGACTGCAATTGCGCATTTGCGTTTCGTTCCGGGAAAATTGAAATTAATTAATTGGCCCGACAGTACACCGACAGGGTACAATGCCGAGACATGTGTACGCACGCGTAGTTCTACATACACGTTTACAGAGGACTATATGCTAACGAGCATAATCAGCGAATGGTCGAGGATGAGTTCTCTCCATGTTGTGTTTATTCTAAATTTCACGAAAATTCTTACGAATCGTATTACTTTATCACAAATGAAATTGACAAGCGTTCAACATAACGTTACAAATTATTTTAATTAATTTCTCGGTATCGTCGATAAAAAAAAAGAATAGGATTCAAGAATAACGGATTAAGAAACCGTGAAGCAGTGAGCTAGCCAAAGTCTCGTTCGGATAAGTTAACGTTTTAAAAGACTACGTAAGGACGCGCGTTCAAACCCGGGCGATCGCGAACGACCTTTAATGGCTGTACGGCGACTGGCACCGAGGGTGATACCCGTGTACCTACGCGTGCCTACCTAACTGGGACCATCGACTCCGAGGTAGCAGAAGTGAAAAGGTTGATCGGCAAAGGGTGAGGGCACGGCGAGAATGGCGTGACTCGCAGCCAAAACCGAGGGGAATCCCCGCTAGAAAACGAAAAGCTCGCGTGGCGAACCACCGTGTGGCCACGCTCGACACTCGCCATTATTTCTCCGATGCCCTGCCTTCCACCTCCATTCTTTTTTCCCGCCATCGATCATCTTACGTCACACAGTGCGGCGGACTTTTACCGTCTATATTGACGCCGCCGGTGAGTTCAAGTCGACGGGGTGAACTCTGACCCGCGATCGATTATCGTATTCCCTATGTACGGAAACGTATCTAATGGATCTGATAGAAAAATAACGGTAATGGCTGCTTGAAAGGGTAACGCGACCGTTGCAATGCATTAGTGAACAGGACTCGTTTAGGAGCAGATATAAATAACATAATGTGTTATTCTTCATTTCATTGTAAACCGGTAGCGGATAAAAGCACGTTACCTTTGCAGCATTATCGTATCTAATTTCAAGAAAACATGTTTTGGAGGATACATCTATTGCATGAAGAACGTGCGATATATGGGTTAGTGAAATAATCATTACATCTTTGTCGTATAATTTAAAGTAGCATTGATGTTAATAATATGCTGAAATATATATTGATCTTTGCATCGTGAACAAAATTTATACGACGGAGAAGAATAAGCTGTTTGGCTGACAAAAAAACAAACAAGAGTTCTCTTTCAATCTTAACATAAGCTTTGTTAAAATATGTAGAGAACTAAGAGACACGTATTTTTTCCAGAAATGAATTTCTCGAACATTAAGAGAATGCGAAACACTTCCTTGAAAACTTTTCAACCTTCTCTTGAAAAAAGTCGGTTTTTTTCTCCCTGAGTGGTGGGATGTATCGTCTAAACTGTCAAAAAAGTTAAAAGGTATAAAAAAAACTGTCAAAAAAGTTAAAAAGTGTAAAAAAAGTTTTAAATAAAAATTGCATAGTTTTATTTTGTAATAACGATTAAACATTTTTATATTTTTATTGAAGAAATATTATTATTATTATAAAATACTCTTAAACCATTCTCAATATTTAATTAAAATATTTTTTTATATCTTTGACGATTTAAAAGTATTCATTCAAGAAAAAAAAATCACGCTTTTTTTTCAAGGAAAGGTTTCATCATTGAAAGCACTTAAAAAATACGAGTTTCTTATTTTTTATCTATATTTTATCATTATTCAATGCTCATTAAAATCGAAGGGAGACATTTGATTGTGTTCTCTTGTAAGTACACACGATGATGAAAGAGAGGAAGGGTTAAAATTGTGGTGTACCCCTTGCGCGTGTGCAACATTATTCGCGAGCGCGCAATTTTCATTGTGGCGACTTTTCGCATCGGGCAACGCTCCTCGCAATTTTCACGCGTTTTATCGCGTGCTTTTGCATGTTGAATCGATAGCGATCGCCCGAGCGAGTTTTCGCGGCAGAGTTTTGGTGCTTAATGCTCGCGGGATGAAATTGCGGTATACCGTTGCACGCGCGTGTTTCCACCCGACGGTCTACCCCCGCTTTTTCCACGGCATTATTTCGCGCTCGACCGAGGCTTTTTAGCGTCACGCGACTTCCACCCTCGCCGCCCAATCCTCCCTCGAACGCGACCACCCTCTGTTCCCTTAACTCGGCCGCGCTGGCTGGCCACTGTCACCGTCGACGACGCCCTCGATACATTACCAACGTATAATTCGGTTACCACGGAGTTTCGCCCGGCTAACCGCGTTTGCGAACTTTCGACGTCGGCTTGAATAGGCGCGTCCACGAATCGACGCGTCGCGGGACGGAAACCGACGCGGAAAAACGCATTTGATCGTCCGCCTCCTTTTTAGAAGCTAATTTCCCAGCATTTCCATCCTACGCGTTGCGGTTATTGAAGCGTTACATTAAAATTCAAATTCCATGCCTGTACCACCAGGAATAAAATTATTTAATAGAATATTGTAAGATTTGACGGATCGTTTGACACGTTGAATGTGCTCTTTGTTCCAGGCAAGAGTTTCACCTTAACGATAACGGTGTCGACGACGCCGCCTCAAGTCGCCACTTATACCAAGGCGATTAAGGTGACAGTAGACGGGCCGCGCGAGCCGCGATCCAAGACCAGTGAGTATCACTGTAAGCATTGCTGTTCTTATATATATTTATTACATTTTATTCTTGCTAATAGTCAATAGAAGTACGCAGAGAGAACGATTTTCCTGAAAGATGATTTTCCTAAAATTTTGCTGCTGGAAAGAGGTCTGAAAATAATTTTGTCGAACCATCAAAATAATTATGTTGGAAACTAAAAAATGACGAGTAATGCTGTAGAAGAAATTGTGCTATTAAATGACAACGCGGAAAAAGGTTCAACACAAATGAGTGAAAAGGACCATAGCTTAAATTCCAGTTCAAACAAATTAGGATTAGAATCGGAGACTGAAAATTCACACAGAAATATTATTAGATACTAAGATCTGCTTCGATCAAATACGGTTCTCTTCACTCGTGCTGCAAAAAATTCTTTAAACATTAATTTGAGCTTCTAATATAATTGTTTTGACTAACAAAATTATGCTCTGTGTCCAGCAAAATTTTAGATCTATCAACAAAGTCATTCTTTCCACGTAGCGTCTTATCAAGCATTGTACAAAACGGAACATCCTCATCAGTAGCTTTACAATCGCGCATCGTGACGATTATCGAGACTTTCAATAGCGTGGACGCGCTTAGGAATTCGGAAATTTGGCGTGTGCGTAGAATATCTGTACACGGGAAAACAGATTTTAGCGGGACTCCGTCGACACGATCGTAATGCCTAACGAACGAGCGGCGTGGCACCGGTGGCAGTAAAAGCCGCAAGTTCGAAATGGCCCTAGTGCGCGGCTTCGCGCACGGTCGGCCGTTACCCCTCCAAGGCCAAGTTTCGTGCAATTGTCATTATTTATAACCACGGGGGCACCGGGTCCCGCCATAACATTGACAAAGAGCTGCGGGCGTTGCCCGCGAAGGTGTGTATCGCGGGTGCTTTGGCCAAAACGCAGGGTGACGCCTGCAAACTTCCGCGGATATCCGCTCGCGAGAACTCCTTCGCGAGAGCGTAGTGCCGAGACATACAATTACCGAGAGAATTCTCCCCGTTATTTCGCTAGGTTCACCGTCGAGCCCCACCGTCTGCAGGGGTTCCTTCCTCAGGGGGCGAAGGGAAAGGGACGTTTCTCATTCTCCGTTTGTTACCTACCACGTAGCCTGCTACGTATAACGCATTGTACGCTTTGTGCTTCCGAGCACGTCAATTTGTGGCGTCGTACCACGGACAAAGATTTCCCTTAGAAGATTTAGCCTGAGGTTCGATACTTGACAAAGAAAAAAAAACAACATGCCGTTAGTCCGACTATTCCGGCGTAACAAATTGCGTCGGAAAGTTTCTCGTAACGTTTGCATTTCGATTGTAAAATCAATTGTACTTTCTTGAGATATCTTGTCTTATCTTTGCGTGTTACATTGTGACGCGATCCCATTCTCGTGTTGGTTTAGAGATTAGAACGCTAATACGCTAGACTAATACATTAGAACGCTAATAATGCCGTCCCTGAAGACGCACCAAAAATATCCGATAGCTTTAATATATCGAAGCGGTCGCTCTGGGTAGCATAGGATAAGTTTGGTACCTTGGGAAATTGCGACCACATCCGCCGGCTTGGCCGCATCTGCGGACCACCCACGAAACTTCCGTCATAAATCCAAAATATGAAAACGCGAAATTTCGGTGTACCGCTCGCGGAGACGCGCATCCAAGCAAAACACTACATATCAGAGAACGTAACGTTTCAGAGAAGTAATTTCTCTTGCGATATTAATGCTACCGACTGTTACTTCAGCCAGAGATATATTTAAAACGGGATATTTTATTACGAGATACAAATTATTATGGAGATCGCATTTTTTAACACATCGATATAATTAATTTTAATTCGAAGTAATTAAAAATCACCCCCCCCCTCCCTCCTCCCAGCTGAACACGTTTTGCGGAACGTCAAGTTTCTGAAAGCGAACAGCGGATATGAATTTTTAGAGATCGTTAAGATAGCGTAAGGACGTCGGAAATAGACATCGGTCATGTCGGCGCTTTGGATCTTCTATGAAAACAAACCGTTTATTGAATCAGGGACAATTTCAAGGATGGCGGCGCGAGATGAAAGAGCTTTGGCTTTCCGGGTGGTCCTCGTGCGCTTTTTTCGAGGCCACGACCCACATGTTTCATCTCATCTTTGAATAAGCTGTAAGGACTTCCAATTGTTATATTTCAGTACATGACAGGTTTATTTTCACACATTGACGTATAATTTATTGAAGTCTGATAATTTAAGAAGAACACATAAAGAAATCTTAAATATTTTCTTTTTATTCACGGAGAGAATTTTCTTTTAAAATTTGCTTTGGAAATATTGTAATTGCGGTATAATGCAATATCTAAAAAATGTTCACCATGCACTTCAGTAAAATGAATCAAACTTATTTTATACTCTATTGTAGGTTTATCAATGAATGAGAGAGATTTACATTAAAATTCTTTGAAATACAATATTGTCCCACGACTATCATATTTTTTCAGGGTAAACTCTAAGAAAAAATTCTCTCCGTATACTTGAATTGGTAATTTTTACGTACTTTTCGTGAGTGAAATAATTTTACGTATGAACGGATGTACATTCGAAGAAACGCTATAAATTGTGCATTCGTGCATTCGACGATCAAACGCGAGAATAAACGAATGAACCTTATCTAAGACAATACCGAGCGAATGCCTCCGAAGGGTTGTAATTAATTAAACAAGCAATTCATTACACATTCTACCCTCGTCTGGTAGCCGAAGGTGGCCGTTGCCGCGGAAAGGCTGCGGGGCCGAGGAAATTGATTGAGGGAGGTTTAGCCTGGGTTCCGATGCTGCTCGCGAGGACTCGCCCATTTAAAATCGGGATTTGTACGTTCGCGGAGTGCATCTTCGACGAATGAAACGATTCTCGACGGCGATAGGAAAGATCGAAAATGGGTGTCGTGCTTACCAGCTCCAGCTCACATCGGGAGAAGCTGATTTCGGGACGCAGGTCGAGGGGGGCGGGAGAGAAAGAAAGAGAGAGAGAGTGTGAGAGAGAGAGAGAGAGAGGGGGGGGGGCGGGAATTGGCGACGGGACG